GGCCTGCATCGTCTCGCGGAGTCCGATCCCGGATCTCGCGTCTTCGTCTCCCTCCGGCTTCCCCCGACTCACCGATGCCCTCGGCGAGGTCCGTCGCCCTCTTCAGGTCTCTCGTGAGGGATCTCACGAGGAGGTAGGCGTTGATCGGATTCCCCACGTGACTCCCCGCGTCCTTCTCCCTCGTCTCCGTCGACTCCAACAACCTAGACGAGAGCGAAGAGCGTCTCGCGACGGTCGCTCGCGAACGGCGACCCGCTCGGGACTCACCGGTTCAGGCTTCGGAGTCCGGATTCCTCGTTCCGGATCTCCGCCTCCGTGCGCGTCGCGTGATCCGCCAACGCTTCCTCCACCCGCGACAGCGACACCGTCAGGTGCGCCAGATCCACGTGAGAAGAGTAGAAATGATGGTCTCCGTCCGTCGCGGCGAACGGCGACGGAAGGAAGAAGAGCAGACAGATCGCTTCCCCTCTCATCTCTCTCGGGACACGAATGGCCTGCGGGCGGAAGAACCGATCGAGCGCGCCTGCAGCGCGAGCCGCGTGAATCGTGCTCTTTTCGTCGCGAAGTTTCGTCACCGACGACGACGACGTTTCGACTCTCGAGACGAGACATCGGGGAGATCGAGCGACGGCGATGCGAACCGTGAAGTCGATCTCGGGTGGAAAATTGCAGCACTCCGCTCGCTTTAGAGCAAAACGATGCGACTCGAACGAGAGTCTTTGCATCGCTCTGCCGAGCAGAACGAGAATCGCGCTCGATGCGTAGGGTGCATCGCTTCTCTGGGATCCGAGCGAAGGATCCGAATTCGCGTCGAGACGTCGAAATCGACCGAACGAACGACCGGAAGAGCGACGAAGATCGAGAAACGAAACGACCGCAAATAGAGTCGAACGAGGCGAAAAAACGGTCGACGAGCGACCGACGACGAAGCTCGCGGGAGCCGACCGCGGCGGCGACGAGGCCGAGATCCGATCGTTCGACGGAACGACTCGAACTGCCCGAAACGATCGACCGAGAGGGTGACGAAAATCGAGGATTCCCGTCGCGACCGAACGTCTAAAGCGCGAGAAAACCGGTGGCGATTTCGACGTTCCGGTTCCGATCTTCCGACCGACACCGTCGAGGAACGCGCGACGCAGAGACGCGTCGGGTTCCTCGTCGTTCCGATCCCCGTCGAACGTTTCCTCCGATCGCGAATCGAGGGCGCGCGATCGCACGACGTCGAGCGCGCGGACGCACCCGGGTTCGCCGGATCCTCGAACGGAACGCCCGCGAGCGAAAGGGTTCTCGCGACGGTCGGTGGATGCGTCGCGCACGCGGGACGCATCCGCCGACGTCCTCGTCCTCGTCCTCGCGACGGAAGGGGAGCCCAGACGAAAACGAACTCTTTCGGAACCGGATCGCTCGAGATCGTGCCGCGGCGAACGTCATCGAGAGAGGATGCATCCGTCGAACCGAGTCGAGAACTAATTTTCAAAATCTGGATAGGGGGGGGGGGGGGGGGGGGGGGGGGGGGGAGATGGGGGGGGGGGGGGGGGGGGGGGGGGGGGGGGGGTGGAGGGGGGAAGGAAGGAAGGAGGGTCACGGGGGCTTTTCCGACCCATAAAACTGCATCGTGCAGGAAAGACACGGTGACTCGTCGTGAGGGAGTGAATGACGTAAAGCCGATCTCCGTAGGTTCCGGGAGGAAATCGCGTTCGGGTGGGTCTGGCGGGGTCTGGCGGGGTCTGACGGGGTCTGGCGGGGTCTGGCGGGGTCTGGCGGGGGGTCGGCTCGTCGAGGCGGTCCACGCCTTTACTCTCTCGTCGACGGAAGAAAAAAAGAGGACCCTCGCGTTTCCGCGTTTCTTTCCGTTTTCGCCGGTACGAGCCGTTTCGCAACCTCGCGCTTCCCGTCTCGGACGCTCGCTCTCGTCACCGTTCGTCGCCGGGAGAACCCCGTTCCGTATCGATCCTCTCGATCGCGACGAAAAAAATCGGAAAGCCGAGACCGGAGGCAGATCGCGGAACGCTTCGCATCGGTTCTACGTCTGCCGTCGATCGTCCCTTTTCGCGGGGATCGCCGTCTCTTCGGTCCGGGTACGAAAGGCATCGTACGCAGTCCGTTCCGGATCCGTTCGACCCGCTTCGTCTCGTGGGTGAGGGGCGAGGGGCAAGAGGCAAGGGGCAAGGGGCGAAGGGCAAGGGGCGAAGGGCAAGGGGCGAAGGGCAAGGGGCGAAGGGCAAGGGGCGAGGGGTTCGCGAGCCTCGAGTCTCCTTCGAGCGGCGTCTTCGCGAATTTCCATCGGCTTTCGCCGCGACTTGCCTCCTCGCACCCCGTCTCCGACGCTCGACCCTTCGGGCTCGGACCCTTCGGTCTCGTCCGGACGATCTCGCCGCGTTCGCGTTCGAGCCCGATCGCTTTCTCCGCGCGGGAACGGATCGGTTCTCTCGCTCTTTCGCCGTGGACCGCCCCGAGTCGATGCCACGGGAAGCGCTGCGAGCGCGTACCGAAAAGATCCACGTAAAAGAAAAAGCCAGGACGTAAGAATCCGAGTGGTGACATCGAGACGTCCGACGTGCATTCGCTTTCCCGTGCGCGTCGGGACGAGCGACGCGAGATCCGTCCCTAAAACGACGATTCGAGGCGATGCGGAAGGAACGAGGGATCGAGGAGGAAAGAGACGGCAACGATTTTTTTCCGTTCGGAAAGCGTGGAAATTTTCCGCCACCGGTCGTGAAAACCCGCGCGGAAGGAACGAGAGCCGAGCCGTTCCGCGAAGAAGCGAGGAAAAAATCGGGACGTGTCGAGCATACGCGCTCGACGAAGGCGGATCCCGAGAGCAAACGCGGCGCAGACCATTCCGGGTGCGACGGGGACGATGGAGTCGTGCGAGTCGAGAGCCTCGAGAGCCTCGAGAGCCTCTCTCCTCTCCCTCCTCTCTCTCTTCGGTGTTCTCGGTCTGTGCGTCTCGTTCCGGTCCGACGCGACCGGTGGAAGCACGGATCCCTTCCCCCGCGTCGGAAGCTGCACCGCGTTCCCTTCTCCCATCGACCGTGGGTGTCGCGCGTCCCGCCTCCGAGAGTGCGCGTCGCTCGCGTCCGAATCGGAACGTCCGGTGATCCTTTATTCCTCCCGATGCAGTGACGGATTCGTGCGGCCGAAGGGGCGGGGGAGCCGTCGAGGCCCGTCAACTCCCGTCCGCGCACCCCTTCGGCTGGCTGCTGTGGCTGGCGTCGCAGTGGTTCCCTCGGCTCTTCTCGCGGTTCCTCGTCCCTTCGGTGATCGGAGGAACGCCGGTGGACTCGATCTCGGAGGCCCCCTTCGTGGCCCAGATCTTCACCGAGAAAGGGACCTTCTGCGGGGGGACCATCGTCGGCCCCAGACACGTCCTCACCGCGGCTCACTGTCTGAAGTGGGTCCGAGTCCGTCGTTCCTCGCGCGTCCACCCCGCCGAATCCTCGTTTCGACCGAGCCGGAGCGGCGACGTCGTCTCCGTCTCGAGACGCGTACGGGGCGTCCCACGAGTCGCCGTACCGTTTCGAGCTCCAAAACTTTCCAGACTTCGACGAGCGGGTCGCCGTCGTGAGCGTCGACGCGAAGAGCGTTCTTTAGAATTTTTTAAGACGACGACTCGGTATCGGACTCGAACGGAAACCGCTTCGAATGCAGATCGGAAAGGTATACCCGTTTGGAGCGATTTATGGTACACCTTGTTAAATCCTCTCTTACGAAATTGCGAAATTTCGTGTTTTTCTCCCCTCATTTCAAATAGACCCGAAAAAAAAAACAGAAAAAAGGACATAACGTTTAATTTAATTTATCGTTTAATTTAATCGTATATTCGTTTAATTTGTTTTGACCGTCACGAGAAAAGGCTTCGCAACGGACGCTGGAGCGACGAAGAAAAGTTGGAACCCGGTGGAGGTCTTCGAAATACCCGTCAGAGTCGAAAGGGACCCCGAGGCGATTTCCCGGTGCCAAGCCTCGTGCCGAATGCATCGACGGAGGCGGAGGGCATCTCGACACATTTTCCAATCCAGAATTCCTTGCATTTTTCACGAAGTCGATTCCAAACGACACGGTATCGTTCGGTCGATGTCACTTCTCTCTCGTGCCGACCGTTTAATAGGTGGGATTTTTTGGAAATGGTATCGTGACTCGTGGGACACCCTGTACGTACCCGTAGCAAAAAAAAAGTCTATCCACGACTCTCCCTCTCCCTTCTCCCTCTCCCTCCTTCCTCGATCGCATCACTCGAAAATGGGAAAAGGTAACCAGCTGAGGCGAAAATCACTCGAACCGTCTCAAACTGCAGATGGTTTAAGGTATTTTCAAAATGACTTCGATAAACATCGGAACGAGATCGGAAGACTCGGAGCATTCTCGTGATGATTTTAAGAGGTGTTCCTGATAAATCTCGCGCATAAAAAAAAAAAACACAGAAGGAAAATGCGATGACGCTATTTCTCATCCTAGAGAATACGAAGATATATTGGTAAAAGGACGGAGTATTTGCAGGATGAATTCGGGTAGGGCCGTGACGGTGAGAGTGGGATCGACGACGAGGGGGTCGGGAGTTCTCGTCCGCGCCCAGACCGACACCCTGCATCCCCAATTCAGCAGTACCTTTCTTTTTTCATTTTTTCATCATCGGCGAGTCGCGGGAGGACGGTGCTCGAGCGGTATTCCTCTCGATGGAAGCCGGGAACGGGGTTCTCGGGGCGTCCGCGTGATTCGCGCGCGAACGTAAAGATCGAGACGAAAAAGCGAGCACCGGACTCCCACGACTTGCCGAACCGTTCGAAACCCATCGGACGAGTCGGAGAAGTCGAAGGAGCCGATCGATGGGATGACCTTGCAGTGAAGGACGCGGGGGGCGGATCCGACGTGGCCTCGATCGTCCTCGAGGAGAGCCTAAACTTTTCCGCTTCCGTGCGGCCGATCTGCGTTCCGATCTGCGACGGAGGCGACCCGAACGGCACGCACGTCCTCTACGGCTGGGGGCGAACGGCCTCCAAAGGGGGTAAGAACGACCGAGACCCGTTCCGAGTCCGTCGCGGTTCCGGGTCCGAGGGATTCCACGCGACGGGCGTCCGGTGGTGTTTCAGCGCTTCCGGCGGCCCTCCAGCAGATCCAGATGCGGCTGACGAACCAGAGCGAATGCACGGAAAACACCGACGGACGGATCGTCTGCGCCACGGGGATTTCTTCCCGCACCGGAGGTTGTAACGTGAGTTTCCCGACGGGTCCGCTTCTCCTTTCGGAAGACGTCGTCACCGATTCAAATCGCTCTCTCTCTCTCGTGGATCAGGGAGACAGCGGGGGCCCCTTCGTCACGTGGTACGGAGACGTCGCATACTTGACCGGGATCGTCTCCTACGGGACCGAAACGAAATGCGAGAACTCCTTCAACGCGTTCACCCGAGTCTCCTATTTCGCCCCTTGGATTCGAGACCGTCTCCGACGACGACGAGGATGATCGCGTCGCGTACCGTCGGCGTCTTCCCGAATTCGAGTAAAAGGTTTCCGAAAATCGGTGGTCCGATCGTTTTTTCGTTCGTCGCGAGGCGAGAAGCGACGCACGATCGCACGGGTGGACGACGGACGACGAGTCCGAGGATCCACGCGGTATGAAATTCTTCCGTCGACCCGAGAAGTGCCAGAAGCGGCACGGTAGCCTACCGACGTCGGTTTCGTCGACGGTCGGCACCGAGGGTTAAAATCGGCCCTCCGACTCGACGTCGGCACGGACGTCGACGAAGGATCGAACGAGTGCCGTCGAACCGTCTTCGAAATCGTGGACGCGAGGAAGAAGATGACGGACGAAACGAGAACTCGGGAGGAGAGAACGATCGCCCTCGCGTCCCGGTCGTTCTTCGTCGTCGTTCGGCTGCCGATCGAGCGAGGGTCGGGCGAGGGTCTCGATCGTCCCCGGCAAGAGGAGACTCGGTCTCTCGGTTTCTTCTTCCCGACTCCTGCTAGGCAACGCTCGCAGATCCGTTCGGAATCGGGCGAACGTCGTCGAGTCCGGAGTCGCGAAACGCGTTCGTCATGTCCGAGGCGAACGCCAGAGACGCCGGAGTCGAGACGGCGACGGAGAGAACACCGAGAGAGACGAGAGGTGAGTCGGGGAAGAGGGATCCGGGCGCCTTCGGCGAGGCGACGCCCTTTCGCCTCGCGTCGTCGATCGCGCGCGAAGGCGTCCATGCGCGTCGAGAGCACTCGCCGAGGACGGGCTCCCTCGGTTGCGAGCGGGCGAGGGCGGTGACACGTGCCACCGAGTTTCACCGAGACTACTCTCCGCGAGTCGACTCGCAGAGAAAACCACATTCCTCGTCCGAAAATCGCACGTGCGAGATTTTCCACGCTCGAGGATGTCGTTCCAAATGTTTGTTTGGAAGATTCTCTCGCAACGTCCTCTCGTCGTCCGTGCGAGAAAACCGAGCGGTGCGGACGAGGCCCGTTCCGGTCTCGGAATCGTTCGTCGACGGGGTGACTCCGGGGGGAAACGGGGCACGCGAACCGTCGAGCGTCCAAACGCCGAGAGTTCGACGAACGGAGAAAGTACCGTTTCGCCGTTGCGACCGAAATTCCTTGTCGAACGAGAGCGCATGAAAAAAAAGTCCCGTTCCGAACGACGGAGCGAAAAGTAAAAAGACGGAGCCTTTCACCCGCTTTACTAACTTCGTGCAGCGATTTCCGGCACGGAGCTAACCGATTCGCGACACCGTCACGGCCGACGACTGTAAGCTGCACGTCGAAATCGAATCTCGAAAGTGCGTCCCGAAAGAGAACGAGAACCGTGACTCACCCGTACGCACGTCTTACCTCGGCGAGGGTGAAACCATCTCGCGATGCACCCTGGATGCCGGCTCGGCCATCCGACCGCAACGATAACGAAAACGAAACCGAACGGCGGGTGGACCAGACTCCCCGTCTCCGTCTCCCCGTTCGATGGGAGCAAGTTTTCACCCGCTCTTTTCTGCTCCAGGCGAGGCCACGTTTCCTCTCTTTTTTTTCGTCACGTCGCGATACGCTCGCCCGTGTCGCGGTCGGCGGTTGCCGGGCGAAGAGTCTCGCGAGAGAACGACCGCCACGAGCGTCGTCAGCGGCTCGAAGGAGGCGCCGCATTTTCGTTCAGGAGCTCTCTTTAAAAAAAATCCCTTCGATTCGATTACCATTCCTATTATATGCAATATGTAGGCCTATTAGAAACGGTTTAACTTTTTTGCGGGTTTTTGTTTATTGGCCGTCGCGTTTTTTTTTTTTTACGATCGAATCGACGGTCGTGAAGTCTTCGTGGGAGTCGGATCAGCACGAAGCAACTCCTCACGAGAAACGTGCACGTTAATCATCGTGTCGAGAATAACGTGGAATGCTTTTCGCATCTCGAGGTGCACGCGACGATGGGATCGGTCATAAAATCGCGCATCCGAATGGCAGACGAGTCGACGATTAACGGTCCGCGGAGCCGCGCGAGTCTTAGGAAAGGTCGCGATCGGCAAGCGACCACAAAATAACGATCGGAATCGACTCGTCGCCGAAAAACCATCTCGCGATCGATGCGTGTTCCCCAGGAGGAGGACGGAAAGGGAAGGAAAGGAGGGAAGAGGGATGGACGGTGGTGCCACCGGACGGAGGCTACGGGTGGGTCGTCGTCTTCTCCGCCTTCACCAGTCGCCTCTTCTACGACGGCGTCCTCTACGGCTGCACTCTGTACACGGTGGAGATGGAGGCGGAGATGAGGGGGAACGCCAACGCCCCGACCACCATCACCCTTCTTCTCGGCGGTTCCGCCCTCGTCGTCGGTAAACGAACGCGTGCACGATCTTTCCGAGACCGCACGCGCTCGGGAGCGGTCGGATTCCACGACGGACGACGAGATCGCGATCGTCGGGTTCGTTTCGCGTCGCCGGGTCCGATACCTCCGAAAAAAGAGGGATCGTGATTTTCGTTCTCGATCGCGCCAAAATATCGGTTTTCGGAATCCGTCACGCGTGGACGGACGAGAACGAAGCGTCGTCCGGCGATCGATACGTAAGGAACCGTAGAGCCGCTCGTCGACGATGCCGTGTTCGCGATCGCACGTCGCTAAAGAATCTCCGATGCAGTTGCGAAAAATCGAATGCGTTTTGGACGGTTCGGAACGCAGGGACGGCAGGAGCAGCCCTGGCTCATCGCCACGGATTCCGGATCCCCGCCTTGCTCGGAAGTTTACTCGGGGGATCGGCACTGGCCGTCAGCGCTTTCTCCACCGACGTCCCTGCTCTTTGCTTCTTCTTCGGCATCCTTGCAGGTGGAATTTTCACCTCGAGTCTCTTCGTCGTTCGCGCGGGAAGCATTTCGAACGGCTTCGAAGCTCTTTCACGCAGGAGCAGGATTGGGTCTCTTGGACCTCTCCATGATGCTCTGCGTCTGTTTCTACTTCGAGAAGGGACGAGCCCTTGCCATCGGGATCGTGTCCAGTGCGACGGGGATTTCCATCTTCGTCTCCCCGCCTTTTCTCAATTTCCTCATCCAGAAATTTTCCTGGAGAGGCGCTCTACTCGTTCAAGCCGGTCTGACGTCTTCCTAGTAGTCTCCCAGTGATAGAGAACGGAGCGTTTGAATAGTCCGTGTCTGTCCGTCTTATTTATCTTTATTCTTGCTAAATTTAGTCAAGTTTTAGTCGTTCAGGCGAGCTTACATTGCGGTGAGACACTACCATACGTGATTAAAATGTAAGAAGATGAAGCTCTTTTACGCGACCGTTCGTGCAGCGTTGTTTCTGGAGGGAGTGCCTCTGAGTTTGCTTTTACGCCCCCTGGAGCCGTCGGCCCGTCTCGGCCCGAAGGAAGAGACGACGACCGCGAGAGAGAAGTCCGAAGAGGACGTGCACGACATCGCCCTGTCCCCCGTCCTCGAACCGGGGAGAAGTTCGGAGCTGGCGGGACGGATCCAGGCCCTGCGAAAGGGACCCGGGAGATGGGTCCCCATCGAATACCCGAAAGTGGAGGGGGCGGTCGCGACGGGGAGTCGGGATCCGTCGTCCCTCTCGCCCGGGACGAAACACCCTGCAGTCGCCGTCCTCTATGCCTCCGATGCCTTCCGAGGAAAGGAGTGGGACACCGGTGAGTCCTGCTTCACGCGTCGCACAGGTCGTACGCCGACGTACTCGAGCGTGGACGTTTCGATCCGCGATCGGCAGTACCGAGTTCTGCCTAAAACTAATCGAAATCTAACGTACGAAGTATCGGTCGATATCTAAAACCGACCACGTTATAGCCCATCGACGAGATGGAAGATTTCCTTCGGTTTCTTTTCGAAGCATCCGAGTCGAATACGATTCTCGACGACGTCGAGGCAGAAGTTAGAACTTCGAGAAGCTCCCAAGTACCTCGAGACGTCACGTTCTCGACCTACGACCCCGGCAGGGAAAGAAGAAGCGGGATGGAGACCCGGAAGAAGACGCGGGACCGGCGATCCGATCGCGGGGGACGGAAGCGGCAGTCACACGTTCCGCCACTTCCTCGCGCCCGGCGTCGGATCATCGACTGCCGATGAAATCACCCGCGACCGCGAACTTCGAGCCGCCGATGGAGAAGGGAGCATTCGGGGGATGGAGCTTCGACGGATGCACACCGGGCCCTTGAACAGAATGGACCTCTTCTATTGCTTCAGCGTCTCCAATCTTTCTCATTACCAGCAAGCGGTATCACGTTTTGGCTCTTTTCTTTCTTCTCGTTCCCTTACTTCGCAACAGAAACGAAATTTATCGCTGAAAATTGCGCATTTCCGAGACGATTGCAGACATAACTACAGACACTCCCATCGACAATATGAACCCGTCGTGATGTCCCGGAAGATCTTAAATCCTTTTCAGAGTAAGAAAAACGTACACTCACCAAAATTATAGGTAATTTTTAAACTTCTAAAACTTGCTTTCCGCGGAAGGGAGCAGAGATATTTCAGGTCCAATTTTTCGTAGCGACTGTCGAACGGCACAAACGACGAAGCCGACCGACGGCTACCTAATCGGGATGCATTCCTTTCACGAGGCTTCCATGACGGCGTTTCGAGAGATGGTGACGAGAGTTCCGTCGTCGATGGAAGGAGCCCCAAAGACGATCTCGAGGATCCTTCCACGCGCCTGCATGGAGGGGATATCCTACCTGCTGGACGTCCGCCTCCTCTCGTCCTTCACCCTCATCGCCATGATCCTCGCGTGGAGCTTCGCCCACTTCTCCATCGTGGCCATCCTCTACCATCTTCCCGGTTCGTTCGAGTGATACACTCTCTAATGAGACCAGCGATCCACGAGGTGCCGGAACCAAACATTCAAAGCCATCATCGATGACTAGAAATTCACTACCAACTTTGGCACGATGATGTTCCTCATAATAAGCCTATTCTCAAAATTAGCAGGCGTCGATGGAAATTAGAAATATACAATAAGCCAAACGTAGAAAGCAAATTGACTTCACTCATGAAAAGACTCCTTTTGCGATGACACCAGCTTCAGATAACGAAGAAAATTCATACATTGGTCAGACGTCATTAAAATCTGATCTCGCAGACGAGAAATTGTTTTTTTTTTCTTCTTCAAATCCTTCTCTGGTTCTTTCTCATTGCTCCGGAGGAAAGAATCTCATTTTCTTTTCCAAACTCAAGGAACAAACTGCGGACAACTTAAGTCTATCCGCATGGCATATTTTGACGTGCAGTTCTAACAGATATGTGCAGTTCTGAATTGAAATTTGCGCAGTTCAAAACTGGGCAAGAATTAAATTTTGAAACAAAAGTAACTCTGAAATTAGTGCAGTCACCTATTTAAAATGATCACTGCATTTCTAATTTAAAAATGGTGATACATCTAATTTTTATTCCCAAATATATGGGGGAGGTGGGGACCATACCAATGACTCCTACATAGAGGTTACAATTATTTGTGCAGTTCTGATTTTTTCTTACAGTATACCCTGCTTTCCGGTACTGAATTCGTCGGGACGTACTTTTGGTTCTTGCGCGCATGTCGAAGTGATGCCATTATTCATCCTCGTGATCGCTAATGAAACCGACTCTATTTTTTCCATGCTACAAGGCAGATTTAATTCGCGAAATGTCGGCAGGTGCCTTGAAGTCGGCGGGGCACGAGGAATGGGCGACGGCGTCGTTGTGCACGTGCGGTGTCAGCAACACTCTCGGCCGTGCTCTATCCGGTTACATCGTGGACCGGACTAAGGTGGGGACCTTAAGGGTTTTCCTCATCCTCATGGCCTTCACTTCCATCCTCACCGTCCTCCTCCCCATCTTCGGCTTCACCGCCTTCCCTTTCGTCCTCTTCTACATGTTCGTCTATGGTCTCCTTCAAGGCAAGCATCTCGGCACTTCGACGGAGAGTGGAAAAGCATATTCTTCAACTTTGCGGGGAAAACGATTTTCGTTCAGTTCCCATATATTCTGTTCCGCTTTCGTTAGAAAGTGAATGAGCACGCTACAGGAAGGTTATATCTATAGTTTAGGGAGCAAAATACTTTCTCACCTATGGGCAAATCGGTATGAAATTTGCTAAACGGGATGATTTTTTGCGAGATACGGTTATTTGCGAGTGTAAGGTTTGGCGAAAAAAAGAAGTCTAAATAACAAAATGCTTGTATCCTAGAAAATCGCCTGAATGCCCCAATACAATTCCATCCGAGGGGGTTAGTATAATTCGAAACGCTATTTGAAACTCCGCTACATGCTAGCAGTTGTCTCAAGTCACACTCATGACTGCTCGTTATTTTTGTGGCATTACCTATTCCATCTTTCGCGGTAAAAGCTGCACTATGTTGCCGTAAGTGATGCCGAACAAGCAAATTCAATCCAGCTGTACAAGGCATCAATTCACTTTATATTAGGCTTGTGAGTTTTCGCAATGGATAGCAAGCAATGCGATGATTCGTGAAAGTCAACCTGTAGAAGCATGGGAACAGTAAACACGAAGGGGATGGGTGAATCACTACCATTCCAGCCGGGCCTTAGGTCAAGGTTGATACATTTCAAATTTTCCATACACTAACGAGTAGGAGTAGATTTTCATTCCTTACAGGAGCCTACTTCAGCGTTAATGCTTCAAAAGCTACTACAAGTATGAGTGCTGTGGCAAGGATGCTGTCCCAACAAAAGAAACGAATGGGAACGCTGTTACCGCTTACTTTCATCACCACATGAAACACCTATCAAAGCTTAAGAGTACTCGAGAACCTCTGTCTCATCTTTCGGCTATGAGACGTAGAACAATTTTTTGTGTTGCAGTATTCTTTACCGTGGAAAGTATTTCAGATGTCTGTACCTCACTCATTTACTTGGGTACATGCGGCACCGTATCTATGATACATGGCCATGAGCTCCTTGCATTAAAAAAAAAAATATTTAAAGCGCAGAATAATTACAAGAAAAACTGGCTATTAAAAATGCTACTCGCGCCACACACAGTGAAAGGTCGAGCTCTGCATTCTATGACAGCATACAATTCAAGTATGAGGCCAGTGATCCTGGTGGAATATTTGGGGCTGGAGAACTTGACCAATGCATATGGGTTGACCACGATGGCCCTGGGGATGACCGGGATGTTAACAGGCCCGGTTTCTGCAGGTCTCATCTCCGCCACCTCCACACATGCTTCCGTCTATTATCTCAGCTCTGCGTTCCTCTTCCTCGCCGCACTTCTCTGCCTCACTATCCCCTACGTATACAGGTATTTAGGGGAGCTGCCCTCTCCTTATGTGTAAAGAAAAGCATGTCGAGTTCACCGAAAAACTTCCAGTCGAATCCAGACTTACTTGCCGGTAGGTCCGGAAATACAATTCTTTGTTTTCTGCGTTGCAGGCACGAAGAGGAACAGAAGATGATCCTGGAGGCGAGGATAGAAAAGATTTCTTCTACTCTTGCACTTCAAGAACGGCAGTAAACTATTTCTTTTGGAGATCTGTCGGAATGGATTAAAGCTGTTTCTAACTTCGTCCAAATGCGAATTTGCAGTTAAACTTGACCACGACTCATTAAGCCTTGGCGGACGAATTGCTTCGATCTTCTATTTGAATTGTCAGGGCATACTCGAACATAGGACCGCAAAGGGTTGATTCGTGTCGCCCAGCTTAACGACAACGATGTAATTTGTAATGCCTGCTTGGTAGCAAAATAAATGCGCGTCTCTTTTGGGGAAGAGTCGAAACGTCCCATTAGCATACTGAAAAGAAGCAAACAGCGATCCCTCCTTCGGATATGATCAACAACGTTCCAAGAACTTCGAGATGACGCAATTAAGCTTTACAACTACTGGTATTTGTCTGGAGTTCCCCAATAGGTATGCAATAGTTGTAGCAGCTGGCTGTTCTTCAACGACAGTCATCATTGGAGACAGTTCCTATCTACCTTCACGATATCCTCAAGTTTCTCGTGAAAAACAAGAAAATTGGGAGACATTTTGCGCACTTATGCCTCATGTTTGCAAATAAAATCCTAGGTGATGAATGACATTCTGCTACCTCTCGCAAGTGTGTCAAATATTGACACGCCTGTAACGTCCATTTCTCAGCAGGATCTTCCAATGCAAGATGCCTGATAACGCTATAATCACTGGAGGGTGAATGTAATCAATGCAGGCCAGAACGTGCTCTCAATTACCTGATCGGGGAAAAGAAATATGACCAATTACCAGACTAGTGAAAAATATATAGGACTTCTGTCACATGGTTTTTCACTTGAGTCCATTATTTTTATTTCGCTTGACCCTGACATCCTCACATGAGAAGTGCAACAGATCGGTGTCAGAGTATTCGAAAAAAAAAACCAGTCATACTCAGGCGGAAAAAACGGCGAAATAAAACCTAAGTCTCCTTCCTGAAGGTGGGTGCATTAACCACTAGACAAAAGAAGCTCATCCTCAGCAAAACCAGGCACTCTGACTGCTTCCATGGCATCCACCATTTGCATCACAACTGCACAACAAATAACCTATCAAAGATTGTTTTGCAGCACGCTTATAATACAAGATTATCGACCTATACTTTGGGTATCTAATGTCTGAGAGTAGATCTTGTTTTGTTAATTAGCTAAAGTAGTTATTGCAGAATAGCTACAGAAAGAGGGAGAGAAGTCATTCCATGCTCATCCCATTCCATCCCCATTTTCACGGGGAGAACTTTTCCAGAATACAGGTAATTTTGACAGTGAAATACAGCATGAGATAGTAATCAGTTGTCCTATTGTGAAATGACACCCTTGATGAGCACTCCATATTCAATTCAATATATCTATTATATCATGAATGCATCACATTACCAAGCAATGATATGACAGCAGGTCATGAGAAAGGGAGCGTGAGGAATCCAGATGGACGGAGGACTTCAATCCCATTGTGAAGGATGCAGACTCGAGGATACCCTAGTTCGACAAGCCATGCTCCAAACTGGAACGTGGAAAAAAGACATGAATGATTTGAGCAAATGAGAAATTCATTCTGGAAATAGGATATAAATACTGCCCAGCCACTTTATTATGATCAACTGAGATTAAACTGATAATAGCAGATCAAGGCAATTTGTTATCAATTGCAACCTGCATGTCAACATGGCATGGATTCTTCAATATGCTGGAAGGTGCCCAGTAGGAGTGTAACCAATTCGTCCAACAGTAGAGAACTCAACTGGGACAACAAAGTCAACAGAGGTACACAGTGACAAAACACCATTCAACTTTGTCCCATATAGTCTCTAGTGAAACAAGATCTGGTGATTGTGCCAGCCTTGGAAGGCACCTTCCATCACCTTGATGTTCCTCAAATGACACAAAAATGTGTGCATGGTGGATAGTTGCATCATCATCCTGAAAGTAGTCTTTACAATTAGGGAAGAAGTACAGCATTTTTGTATGTGCCCAATAGGCAATAGCACTTAACCCTCTATTGCACACATTGACTTGAAATTTTTTTTTTTACCCTTTTTTAAAATTACAGTTATAGTTATATATGGTTAAGCTGAATTGTGTCCTTCATGTAATAACGTACAACTAGGAAATTGAAGTGAAAAACGTATAGAGTGAGGAAAGAGAGTATGTTACCTACAGGTCACACAATGCCACAGAAGGTTAAGTACACTCTGGCGATCATTTAGCCATGAAAAAATTAGGTGAACCAAGGGAGTCTGGGTCCCTTGGTTCACCTGGGCAACCACCACAAGACTATTTCCCATGCCATGACACCACCCATGGTAGCCTGGACCTTTGGCACCACAAATGCCAGGGCAAGGGCTTCCATGCATGCTTATGGCCATGGTTTTCCCTTCCAGTTGAAATTTCACTGCTGCATTCCTATTGCTGATAAACAAGGGTGATAGCAATATTTGTGTAGTTCAGCTGAGTGACAGACTGTGCTACCATAGTACCAATTCTTTTCTCAGCAAGTACATATTGTATGTGCATTATGGCATGGAATTATTTTAAATCACATGCTGTTCTAGCTTTGTGGTTATACAACTTCAGCTACTCTCCATGGATAAGAAAAAAGACTAGTACATTAGATGCAAGATGAAAGCAAGTAGAAGCATACGATCACATACTAATGGCACTCCCATCGACTCTCCAAGTGGCACTAGCGATGACATTTATTAACCTTCCAATCCCGATGTGGGGTATTTTTGGACCCCAGGGGCCTTTTTATTTCTGTACTGATGCATCTAGCAGCTTCTCAAAACTGTAAAAAATCATTTGTACCAAGTTATCCTTCTTATATCTTACACATTTTTCATTGGTCTAATTCACACATTTGTTTATTTATAAGGAAATGAAACCTCACTGGGGAGCATCGGATTGGAAGGTAAAAAGGAAAATATAGTTATCTGATGTGTGAAAACCTGAGAGAAAAGACTCACAGATACAGGGAAATCAGAGTCTTTGTTCCCAACCATGACAAGGATGCGACCTCGATAGGAGTTGAGAACGTCCACTTGCATGCATGGATTCAGGGACTTATCAGCTCCAAATGCAGTGTGGAATGGGATGTTGACACTCCCAGGGATGCAGCCTCGATTGAATCTGCACAGCATTCTCATCAAGGAACAATAACAGTTAGCAGAGTCTTTTGCCTTGTGGTTAGGAAGAGAGATAAAGAAATGCATGCAATATGAAGCCACAAAAACATGAAAATGTTGAAATAAGAAATAAGACATTTCAAAGTAATGTCCATGTCCATGAAATTTTGGTAATGGTAGGTACATTTGAGGCTGCACCTAAGTGGGTTAGGCTAGCAACAAAATTGGCGAATGAGCTTTATTCTCACTGGGCACAAGAATTTGCATATATTCTTCAAATGATCCACAATATACTTAGCATGAATGTCTTGTAGAGAATTCCCATGATATTTGCGATACTTATTCAACTTGGAAGTGAAAGCCATGTGAAGTCAGCTTGGTGAAGATGTGTCTATTGGTGAAATATCTGATTCCCAAACATGTGTACATTTTCTAATGTTTCATTTTCCAAACGGCTGACTAGCTTAATTGTTCTTGCTCCTGGGCTTCTTGTCTCCACATAGCCCACTCAGATTGGACTTTTAACATATTGACCACCACATAACACATCAGCATGTCACATTCACCACAGGGAAGAACAGTGGTTCCTTGAAGCATGACAAAACGAAGAAAACTGAAACCTCGAATGTATCAGTATCTCGAATGCACAAAAAGAAAACTGACAAAACTCGAATCTTCAAAAAGTTAATGACACTTAATTTTTTTATGTCCGGGTGTTTATCTGAGAGCAAAAGGAGGGGTTCAAAACTCCAGATTATGCACAATACTTCTGAGATAGTCCAGGACATCTCTGCTTGCACAGCTGTGACAAACTTTCTGAATCTTGCAGTTGCGCTGAAATGTCCTTCCATCTGCACCTTGGTTCATGGCCCATGAAGAGTCCTTCTCTTTCCCGTTCCAACATACTCTGCTCCTGGTGAAGGATTTCCAAGGAGGTCCACAAATTAGGATGATCGATGGGAGGAGTGATGAGAACCTGCGATTCCATCCTTCAACTGGATTGTTCATTCGAGGATCTTTGTTTTTCAAAGCCTCGTGGATGTTCCACATGCCGAAGGGGAAAAGCAGAATGTGAGGATGGCCTCGCATGCACCTACCATTAATGTAAAATTCTCGGAAGTGAGTTGCAATCCCCTTACCATATTCAGGAATTTGTGGAAGAAGAGAATTGTAGGCACTGAGGACATCCTGAATGAGTGCAAAGGCCAACACAACAATCATGCGCATGGAAAGAGAAAAGTCCTCGTCATTTAAAATTGATTTGACATTGAAAGGAGAAAGGAGAAATGGCTGTGGGCAGCAGTCTCGGTCTGGGAGTGCAAGTTCTATGCTTTCAGTCTTTTTCCACCTTCTGTTACATTTGAAGTTTCATCCCCTTTGGCATTTGGTGTCATTTACGGTTATGTTACATTCTCCATTTTGAGTCCTTTGAGGTTTCAATTTTTGGGGTTTCGTTATAGACCCATGGTTCCTAACCCCTTGGCAGTCAATGTCTTAAATGTTTCTGGATTGGATTAGGAATAGATATGTAAGGTGTTGGTGGACAAGAAGTGGTTTGTGCCAAGAGGCATTATGTAACAAACTCCCTCATAGGAAATGTGAAGGAAAAGGGGATCAAATAAATTATTTCTGTATTTCACCTCTTCCATATCTCTTTTTTAAAAGTGGAATACCACACCCTGAAGCACTACTGATTACCCAAGATTACCAATGTTGAACTAAAGGTATTTCAACATACTTCGGAGGTAAATGCTATTTTGGTTCATAGAAGTAAAAAATTCAGAGCTGGCACCCTTCTGCAAAAAAAAACTCCCTCCTGGGGGCATGCACAATCTAAAAAAAAAACTCACTGCTCAAAGGGTTAAAAATGAGAACTGAGGGTAAGCAATGCACAAAAAGCCAGATGAAGGTATAGATAGCAACTCAAACCTGAGGTATGAAACAGTGATTCCATGTGAATCAGAAAAGGATACTCATCAGGGCTGCGTATATCAATGGGAAGTAGCTTTTCAGGTGACCCTGGAGGTGAATGGTCATTTCGGGTAGTCAAACCAAGTAGGCAGATAAGATCTGCAGCAGATATGCGAGGACTGGGCTCTCTCTTCAACACCTCAACTGGGATCTCATCCATGTCCTAATTACAACCAAACATTTCAAATAAATTCAACTTGCTTCATAAACAACATTCTTTGTGTATTTATGAATCAAGTGACTCAGACAAAATTTGAGAATCAATTTCCCTATAAATATTTTATATATTTTCCAGCTTCTAGAGATTACATTTAAGAGCAAAACATATATTTCTGAATCCAGCACCTTCCTTCTTCATACCATCATGAACCTCCTTAAAGGCTCATATAAAGGTAGAAGGGAGTTTCTTTATATTGCTTCACCATTTCTAATGAAGACCAATTCATCAAGCTTTTCCTTTAGTTCACATCCTTGGTTATTAATCTCACTTCTGTTTCAGAATCTGAACATTGGACATGCATTACATCCAGATGCTAGTTGGAGTTATTAAGGCTTAAAAAAGCCATTTGTCCTGCTAACACACTCATACCATTGGACAAAAAGGTATCAATTACCAATTTACCTGAGGGTTTAACCCAATTTAAGCATTTGCATTTCATTTCTTAAATGATAGAAAAAAGACAGTAAATGACAGTCTTAAATTACTAATAAGAAAACTCATTTTAGTTCTGATTGGAAATCCTATGAAAAAATTATTAAGAGAATGTTACATCCAATTTATCCATTAGTGAAACCATATAATACAAGCCTTTCTCTCTTTCTTAAGGGCATGAACAATTGCTGACAATCATTATTGTTCCAAGTTCATAAGGGTGCACAGTCTTCATGTCATTTCTTTTGAATTTCCTTCATGAACCTAATGTAATGCCACCTAGAAACCCATATAATGGCATTGCAGAAAAAAAATCAGAGACATCAACCTTTACAATGATGGACAAGCCTTGGACCAGTTTCCCACAGCTGATAAGAATTTGAAAGTGGAAAATACTGCAAGAATCTTTAGTTCATTAATACAGTGTGCGCGAGTAGAATTGGCGTGGAAAATACATTAAGGAAAAACATCTCTAAAATTTCTAATTTTAAACATTTATTGAAAATTCCAGAAACAAGAGCAAGGTAGCACTTTATAGATGGAACTTATTCAATAAAGCCACCTTCAGCATCAATCACAGCCTCCAGACAACCTCGGAAGCGAGAACAGGCGCGTTTTACAATCTCAGGAGACAAATCTTGAAATGCCTTGCAGATTCTCTCCCTCAGCTCAGCTTTATTGTTACAGGCAGTCTTATTAGTGATACTTTCAACCGTGCCCCACACATAATAGTCAAGAGGATTGCAGTCAGGTGAGTTTGGAGGCCACATATCAGGGGTAACATGGTCAAAAAAGTTATCCTCGAGCCACTTCTGAGTTTTCCTGGCCGTGTGTGCTGGTGCAGAATCTTGCTGGAACACGTATGGTCTTCCTGCAGCAACTTCTTCAATCCAAGGCTTGACTACGGTCGCCAGAACGTCTTGGTACGCATTCTGGTTCACTCTCAGGCCTTCAAAGATGTGTGGGGGCATAACATGCCCGCCCGTCACTGCTGACGACACCGAAGACCATGATGTGAACAGGAAACTTTGTTTTCATGACTCTGGGCACATCTTTAGGACTCACAGCCAACCATCTGTTGTTCTGTTTGTTGTGTGCCTGATCCTGGCAAAAGTTTTTCTCGTCAGAAAAAAACCACAACGTGTTTGGCTCCTGGGGATGCTTGGTTTTGTGCAAAAGCTTCTTGCTCTTCACGAGACATTTAGTTTTTGTCATTTCAGTAAGGAGCTGTCCACTCTGCATCTTGTAGGACTTATAGCGAAGATCTTCATTCAAACAAAGTCTCACATGCTCTCAGAATGGCCCAGACGTCGAGAAATCTCACGGATTGAGATGGAGGGGTCGTTGTCAATGAGTTGCTGCACATTTGAAATGAAATCGCCACTCCTCACCCTCTGTTCAGCTCGATCTTGTGTCTTTCTGGCAGCCATGGCCTCCACATCAAAGTCTGAATCCATCAGAAGCTCAATTCCACCCATTCCACCGTTCACTGCCACTTGCGATGGCTAGGAAAAGTGTCAAAACTTGGAAAGTGGGTTCCACATGTGTTGTCACCAGACGATCTTAGGGATCAAGTAAACATTTGCTCTTCCCTACACTCTTGTGCACTTCAAGCGCCGTTTTTGAATCGACTCATTACTGGGGATGAAAAATGGGTGCTTTATCACAATGTTAAGCATCGTTGACAGTGGGCTAGTGCCGGGGAACCTGCTGTACCACAGGCAAGAAGAGGTCTTCATCCCAGGAAGGTTTTGCTGTGCGTTTGGTGGGATATTCTTGGCATTGTTTATTTTGAACTGTTGCAGCCCAATGAAACCATAACAGCGGAGGTATACTGCCGGCAGCTCCAAAGTTTGAGCGCTGCATTGCAGGAAAAACGTCCTTCATTGACCAATTGCAAGGGTGTTTTGTTTCATCAGGACAACACGTGTCCTCATACCGCTTGGATCACGTGTGCCAAAATTGAAGAGGGAAAAAATTCCACATCCGCCGTATTCACCAGACATTGCACCCTCCGATTACCACCTATTCAGAAGTCTACAAAACTATCTCTCAAAGGAATTTTATAAACATGGAATTGAAATTGTAGAAAGGTGGCAGAGAGTCATAGAGAACAAAGGGGAATATATACTTGATTGAAACTTGATGCGATGCAGGTGTATTTTAATTTTGAAAAACAGAGAAAAAAATGACATTACTTATGGGATGACCTGATACAGTATTATGTCTTTCAATATGTGATATATTTCAGATATATACACTGATATAACTGATGCTTCTTGAAACTTTTGTAAAAGCCTGAATGAAAAAATAAATTAAAAAGTGACAGAGAACATACATATTCAGGGCCCAGAGCAGGAGTTGATACAGAGTGAGGAGTGACAGATGAATCATAAGTCTGCAATCCATACAGTCTTCCAGGTTTCTTCCCATGCACTCTGAATAAAATGCTTGGTGGAGTTGTGCAAAAGATCCTTTTTGAATCTTCAACACATTTCTGCATGTCAATCTCTGTATTGAGAATGACTCATTTGCTCTTTGTTTTGCAACATCTCAGCAACAAGACAGTGATGAAGACATGAGAATTCAAGTCAAGAAAATCCACAGAAGACAGAGTGAATGCATTCCCATCATGCAGTGGTGGATACAGAAAATTATCACAGGAGGGGTGATTCCCCAGTTCCTACCTAACCCTTCTACCACTCCCCACCCTATTGCCTTTTTCATTTCTCATCTGGGGAAAAAACTTGAATATATCTATTTTAATAAATAATAAGGCCCCAATAAGGATTGATGTGAAAAGAAAAAAAAATTGAATGCTAACCTGATCATAGGGCAGTTGCCCCCACCTGGATCCACTACTGCCAACATGTGCACTACTTGATGTTGCAATATTTTCTGTTTCATATCAAGCTTCCCACTCTGATGTTTGGCCAATTTCATCAAACGAGCATTTTCTGCAAGTTCATTGCATGGGCCAATACTAAATGACCATATGATTAGTCACATAAATTATTCTTGATTAGGTTGATGGAAAGACTTCAGGATAAATTATATCAGTAGTCATAACTTGAATACTGTAAGTTTAATCCAAGGTTACAGTTGGCTTTTCATTTTTAAATCCAATTTCTGTGCATTACCCATGGCAAAATAAGATGGATATTTTGCAGAATATCAGGGCAAAGACTGAGATTTAAATGCTGCATTGTTTAGCCACAGGAATTGTAGTGATTCACCTGAGATTACTTTTAGAACCAAGCTCTTATGTGTCTTCTCCATTAGTCTTAGGAGGATTTTATGAGAATGACTGTAAGACATAAATTCATTTAGGTCATCATTGTACAAAAAACCTCCTAAAATACTGAACTGTGAACTGCAAACCCTATATAGCAAAATCTTCAAAAACAAGAAACTTCAAGAAATGCTTCAAGTAATAAAAAAAAAGAGTAACACAGAAATGCATGTTGAAGATGAGAAATGGATACCTGGGAGGTCCGAGAAGAGGAGGATGCAGTCATTAAATGCAAACGAGAGGAGAGATTCCCGCAACTGGGAAATCAGTGCCAAGCCAACACACAATGGAAACGATGATGAGCCAAGAAGCAGGGTGTCCCACAGGTGCATTATCTTCCCCAGAGGTAATACATCTGCACAAATCAAGAGGTACAAGAAAAGTAACTATCTGGAACATAAAAACCTAGCCAAAAATGTAAGAGCATAAAAGTGTTTTAACACCAGCTGAAATGATTATACTCACATCCTCTATAAATCATTCTTAACTCTTTTGCTGCAGCTGTCCCATTTTTGGGACAGTGGTGTTATCATGGAGAAACTGAAACTCTAGAAAATTCCTGAGGAACAAGTGTGTTCTGGAGCATTACATTACAAGGGTGGAATACCACCCTTGTAATGTTTAACATACCTACAATACTAGCTTTGAAAATAATCTCACCAACTGGAAGCAGCAAGTATTATAACCTTACTTTCTGATCAACCCTTGTAAATGCCACAGCAAAATGGTTAAGTTATGGTTATATTCATAGTTGAAAGATAGATGTATCCTTTAAAATACCTGCAAAAATGTAATTAAAAATATAAATTACTAAAACTAATTCATTTCTGTAGTCTCAGGAGAAATAGCTTCAAAGCAGAACTCACGAGTAAACATGGTGAGGAACCAGGGGATAGCATACAGCTCTGGTTCAAACCCAATGACTTGGAGATGGGAGAAGAGGATAGGATCATGAAATGCCATCAGATGTGAAAACTTGGCAAGATATTCATGAATAATACGGGCATTTTCTTTCAGGAAGAAGTTATGCAGATACTTGTCAATGAAGGCAGAAAGACATGCATATGCTAGAGCTGCAAGGAGGAAAGAACCCAATATTAGACATTCCCCAAAACAGAGTACACTACAGCACAGACCTAATGAAAATCATGAGAGCAATTGACATGCTGTAACTCATGAATCTGCAAATGCACATTTTATTTCCTTGACTTAGGGCACCATAAGACCTTTTTTTTTTTTAAAGAAGGAAAGGGCATGCCTGATGCCACATGATTGAAAACAAACTATCACATGAATCCTCAACAAAAGTGTACAAACACAGTCCAAAATCATTGTACATAATAACCACAAGGTGATAACACAGTCTTCACATTTGCCATGTTCTTCCTCCTCACCCTCACCTGACTCCCCCCACTCCCTCTTCCATCTCCTCTCCCTCACCCTTTCTGGTCATCATTAAGCTTCTTTTTTTCATAAACTAGACTTTTTTTTGCTAATGCAGCAAATGTGAATTGGTCTGGTAAAATTTAATGAAATTTGCTTCAATTTCAACACATCCTTGGGATACTATTGCTTTTCAGGTGTGTACCTCTGAGATTTCTGGGCACACAATACATATAATCTGTCCTAAAATAAAATCCCAGAAGAGTATCAGCAATTGAACATGTGCAGTTCCACTTCTTAAGGAAAGAAAATCTAGCTGGAGTAATGCATAACAAAAATGCAACTTTGCAGTAGCTTACAGTATAAAAAGGAAGTCATATGAAAAATTGGACATCAGTGAGACCATAAAAGGGCCAATGAAGAAAACATCAGCTGGAGTGATAAAGAAAGGCAGTAAGACCCTCACCCTCATTGTTGAAGTGGAGGTAGAGAAAGGGAGCACATAGGGAATCAAGGCCTTGCCAGTACACATAGTTTGGATGAGATACAATCCAGGCTTTGAGAATACGCTTGAATTTCTCATGACCCGTGGGGGAAGACAGAAGCTTGTTGTACTGATGACAGCGTGGGATATCCACTTCAATCTGAAGCAAGATACAACCATGAATAAGATTTTCCAAGGACTCAAGGTCTACTTCTGATATAAGGTCTAAGATCTGCATCTTTCATGAATTACTTTCATATATTCAGCATACAGTAACAGTAACATACTTTTGGTAGACATACAAAATCCATAACTTACAGTGTAACACCTCATTAATGCTCAACTTCCAAAATAATTTTGTCAAAAGACAGTGTTCACTCCAAGTCATATCTGTACTTTCAGTTTTCTTTATGCTTGCTCAGAAATTCCTTTCACCTCTTGCTCAGCCAGTTCCCTTCCTTTTATGCAGAGTGATCATTTACTAATGCCAAGTCAAACCTACAGTTTTATATTCAGCATTTTCCAATAAGACATAGGAATAAGTTTGATGTCATTGACATGACAACATGATTCAAGAGTAGATCAAGAGAAGAGGATACATGCAAAGTAAATTGCTAGGTATACCTGTCTGTCAGTGAAAGTGGGAGTGGTTTTGTCCAGGCAGGCATACTTGGACTGGATATCCCCTTTGACATCCAAGATGGCTGCCCATACATGGCCACGATACAGGGGTGGGATATCCACTTGAGCCTCTTTCATGAGATCCCTCCTTTTGTATGGATATCCCTGCATCCACAAGGACACTTTCATGAGATGAAAATGTATTTTGGCACTTTTAAAATGCATGACTGACCATTGAGTAGTACAAAAATGCCGCAGGCTATTCATGCTAACCAAAGTAGATACAATTAAAATGTCTTAAACCCAGTATTTGACCTAGAAATAAAGGATATGATGAGACAGAGAGGTGACAAAGAAAAGGTGAGAATGATTTGAAATTGAGAAATTCTATTTTCCATTCATGGGAAATAAAATGTTTCCATTTCTGATCCATGTAAATTTCTGGGAATTGATTCTCAAATCAGCTTCACCTACACCCAGAATCTACCTCACCAAATTACTGCAAGTGAAAAAATACTCAAACCAAAGGTCTTTACCCCCAACAGCTTCAATTAAGGCTATGCTGACTAGTGTGATGTCACAATATCTATTTATATCCAATCAACAATATGTCTCTATATTGTGATGATGTTTCCCAGCTTCATACTGCCCTACTTGATAACTCTTGTATGCATACATGGCTGACTGCATTAGGTAAAGCCAAATGATCAATGAAGGAAACCAACATATGGAAGCTTCATTCAAGCTTGAGCCATTTCCCTGAATTACTAGACCTACACGGGACAAATTTGGTAAAAGGAACACTAAATGGAGGAGAGTTCCTAGCTGTGTATTTCTCCTCAGCCATTAGGCCCCAGGAGGACATGAAGATGACATGCATCACAATGTAGCACTACCTTAACTTTCCAATATAAGATTTTTCTCACCAAAAGGGGAGAAATAAGACAGGTATCGCCATATTTCAATGGAAACACCCTGTGATTCCCCTAATAATCTTATTGTCCCCTGACTTATTATTAGGAAAGGAAGGAGATCATTCAATAGGAAATTCCCAGGGTTGTGATCTACTCATGAGCAGAGAGCACCAACATTCCTTCTGTTGCATGTGGACTCCATTACAAAGCAATGAGTGATTCTGATCTGCACCATGGAGCATTTTTTATCACATTTCCGATGCTAACTTAACACATTGAGCCCCAAAATTGTAATATTACATGTTACGAAGTCATGCCTAGCAGCCCTGATTCATAATACAGTGGTACCTTGCATAACGAACGCAATTCGTTCCAGCGGTGCGTTCGTTATGCGAGGTGTTTGTTATGCGAAACACGATTTCCCATAGACTTCTATGGGAAATCATGTAATCCGTTCCACATTGCCGCGAAAAATCAAGGAAATTAGGAAAAAATGTTTTACTTTCACTCGCGAACACCTCGCATAACGAACGCACCGCTGGAACGAATTGCGTTCGTTATGGGAGGTACCACTGTATTACATTTTGACACAAACCTGTACTCAAATACTTTTTATATCAATATCTGTATACTGCTGGCAATTTTAGTTGATTCACTGAACATTTCTGAACAAACTGGTGTTGGAATCATACTGATATGTTGATTAGTTATGTAAATATTAATTTTTTTCCAAATAACTACTGTAGTTTTTCTAGAAAGTGGCTGGGCTCCAGTGGTTGAATACTGTTTATGTGCCTGGGGTTCAATGTGTTAAGGAATTGGTGATATCGCAATATTGTCCAATATACAGTTGGGAAAATCAATCAATTTAAAACCAATATTGCATAGCTCTAGTTTTAATTTGCATAATAATATTACAAATAAGAGCAGCTACAGATGGATTACTGAAACAGTGACCTGGCAGTATAGTCTACTGAAGCTATGCAAATGAAAAGGATTTTCTGCTATTATTATGATTACCATGACAATATAACACTATTCTTGAGCTAGTGTACCAATCTTTTTCAATCAATTGGTTGCCATTCTATTCTGCAGTGGCAAAAAATGTCATAGTCTGTCACTAGATAGAAAGGTGAAGATTTCATGCAATGGGCAAATCAAGGTACAGAATGCAAGAAGGAGTAACTTAGGAGAAGAGAAGAGACTAAGTCATTTTTAAAATCCCCATGGAGTGGGAAGTATTTTCTTGAAAAAGAATGTCATCAAAGGTACAAAGTATCCATAAGTAATTTCACAATTCAAGCCCACATTTACATTCCATACAAAGTACAATGCACACATGTACATCAAGATTGAAAGCCATAGTATTAGTACAGGCAAATTAGTATTTGTGCTGGAAGGCATGTCATTTAATCACATATCACTCTCAATAGTGTGTTAACGCCAAAGGAATTCAGTTCCTACGTTCTGTTAGTGTCCATTGTGCTTAGCAGAAAGAAACATGAAAGTGTGAATTTACTTAAGGCCAAATCTGCCCTGGCTGAGATAAGAATAAGACGGAAGTAAAAATCATTTTCATACCTCTCTCCCATCCTTAACTTTCAGCCTAAGTTGCATTTTTGCAAAAGTCATTAAAATCTGGCTATGTTAATCCAGTTGATCCAATCACCATTAAAATATTCAGAATAAAAATAATGGAGTGGGAAAGACAGATGCTTTACCTGCAAGAGTTGTCGAAAAAGGATAAGTCTGTGAAGCTGATACTCAGCATCTGCTTCTCGAATAGCCAGGGGTAACTTCTGCATCTCTTCAAAGGAAGAGGGTGGAGAATCACCCATCTTTGAAGTCAGTCTAAAATATGAGCATTGAAACGTGATCAACTTTTATACATTTGTATGCTGCAATCACATAGGTCCAAACCAACAAATCTGTCTCACAGTGAAAACCTTCCTAAGGCCTATTGAGCCAACAGACACAACTCTCAACCTAACAGTATGAATATACAGCACTCCTCTTGAATGCTTTCAATAATTCTTGAATGCTTGAATGCTTTATCATTTTTAGAGAGCATGAGAAATCCAGTAATTCATGGAGTCTGTAAAATTCTTGAAACTGAAAGATTAGATTCTGCCACCCAATGTTTCAATGTTTTGCCATTAGAAGACTTGATTAATTACTCACTGAGAGCGATATTCAATGAGTGGGTGATAAGCTTTGGGATCCACATGGGAAAGATGTGAACGCAGCTGCTCCAGGGGTAATATCACAACAGTTGAAGAGTAAAGTCTTCTCTGGTCCCTGGATTCTCCATACAATTTTCCTTCTTCCACTGCCAACCTAAATATTGATGGAAAAGGATTCCACACATCATACCAGTTAATCATCATCAGCACTAGTACTGAAAGACATGGGATACTATGGTCCATTAAAAAAAGGAAGAGGATTGATATAAAATTTTAGGAATTGAATGGCTATAGTATGAGCAAGCAAAATCAGTCTATTCCATATGGGTCTATATCTAATCCAACATTAAATGTTCATAAGAGCTGCTAAATCTTTTCCTATGGAAGATTTGAATTCTGAGGCTTGCCTTTCAAAAATTTTTATCTAGAGGACTCTAATGATGATCATGAATAGTTTCAAGTGGCACCTTAGTGAAATTAGTCTAACGATAGAAAATGCTTAAGGTTCTCATTCTCAGGAACATTACAGTCCAATAGTGGTACGCATAAAAACTATAAGTGAACCAAGCATATGCAATTCCAAAGGAAAGATATGGGCATGGTACAAATGCACAGTTTGAAAAAAAAATTTTTTTAAAGAGTTTAAAGGACACATGAAAATGTCATTTTTCAATAGGCTACAAAAAGCACATCTTTGATGCTAGAGGTTAGAATTTGGTTTATTTGGGTCATTAGTAGTTTAAATTTTCATGGTCTAACAGCACTCACAAAGGTGTTAGTTGACTGAAAAAATGCCTGCATACTTCCAATTTTGTCAAGTTGACTACTGTAGAGAAGGTTCAGTGTGTCATTTGGTTCGCTATTTTCATGGTCCCTTCTTTTTTTATGATGCAACAATCATGGGAGAATCCCATCTGTGGATGATGCAGGAGTTATTATGCTTTGTCTGGATGGTATTGGGACTGTTGAACCTAACATTCCTTTTTAGCAAGATGGCACCCCTACTTGTTCTGCTCAGCATGCTAGAGGATTTCTAACCCATTGCATTGGGAGACAGGGACTGACTTCCTGGTCATTGAGATCCCCTGACCTTACCCCATGTGATTTTTCTCATGAGGTCAAGTAAAAACTCAAATGCACACAAGGAAACCAAGAAATCTTGAAAACTAACAGTACAAAATAGCTGAAGCTATCCAATCCATCACTCCCCTGCAATTATGAAGCATATTCATTACATTTCAAAGGCATCTTCCACAATGTATTGATGTTCTGGGCAATCAAATTGAACTGTACAGTTTTTAAACCTGAAGTTCAAGGAATGCATTGAATGAAAGACCATTACATTAAAAGAATGCTTTCTCTATAATAAAAAAATTAATAAATAGTATTTGTATACATCTACGTATTTAACATATTTAAAGGAGAGATATTTAGGATTTACAGTTATAGTAAAATTCTTGATAATTACCAAGCTGAGAGAATGCACTCATTAGTCAGCTCATTTACCACACACCTATGGAGAAGCATATGAATCAACTCCAAAAAATAAAAACAATCTATAAATTTCAAATGAAGAAAGAATTCTTCTCCCTCTTTGAATGAGTTATTACCTGCCCTGTCCATAGTACTCACAAGTCCATAAAGGAAGAAAGAGTTAAGCCTTTTTGAAGTAGAAATAAAAGGATGGTCCAGTGCAAATCACTTAATTCACCCATTATTTTCTTGAATCATATATCCATGAAATAGGAAACTTGCTTTGCATGGGTGTCCCAGTAAAAGTGAAAAAATGTATTAGGCAAGCGAAAAATACTGAAAATTTCCATGTGTAATTCAATGTTCAATTCAAGGTGTCATTTCTTCATCAGAAGAAATTTCTTCCTGACATAAAAGAAACTACTCACTTTGGAAGAGACAGAATAGGAGGTTTGCTTCGAATGAGGCCTTGCTTCTTTAACTCTGTACTCACATCTCCTCCAGCAAGTTGCCATAGATGATAGATTTCCTCTAAACTTCTCCCACTCAAGTGATCACTCATCAAAAACTCAGAATGTTGTTGGGATGAGGCTGTTCCTGGGTATTCTGAAGGAAGCAGAGTCTGAGGAACTCCAGGTGAAACCATAGCTCTCACAGGTGCTCGTATCTTCTTGAGAAGCTCCTCTACTTCAGGGTGAGGCTCATTTCTTAACAGTGATGGTAATTCCAGGATACTGAAACAGGAGCATGTATCTGACACAAATCCATTCATCTGCATTTCCTGCTTTCCATGTATTTCCAGCCAACCATGCAGCAGAAGATCCCCTGCTTCTGAACGAGAGGAAGGTGAAATGGAGAGACAGTTGTTGAAGAAATCTCTCTGCAGGTCATTCATGTTCTGCAATGATAACAGCCATGTCTTTCAAACCCATCTCATTTTTTTGCATAGATGAGTGGAATGCTTTGAAATTGAGAGACAATGTTAGCAGGTGATTAAAATGTTTTGAGATATGCAGAACATAAAAAATTGAGCATTATATAGGTTAAGGCATCTTGCACTCTGAAAAATCCATATACTCCATCCTTTAAGAACTTCAGCTTTGTGAGTGCTGTTAGACCATGATATGCCACCAAGTCCAAGATTTTTCTTTGTATTTGTATATTGTAAGATTTTACAGAACTTACAATTCTTTTAGGGGCAACATTGTAAGTAGCTTTCCTCACCTGATTCTGACCATGTGTCCATTGGTCAAGAATTCTTTCAAGTGTGCCTTTCTTTTCAACATCTCCTGTCAATTCAAGGATTCTATAGCACCAATTCTTCACACTTGCACTGGGAAGCCATGTGTTTCCAAGGAATGCTTGCAAAAGGATCATTCCTATTGACCAAATGTCACCCTGTGGCCCAGAAATCTTCCCTTCACTGGCTATCACTTCTGGTGCCATGTATGGAAAATTGCTGTAAAATAATTAGGGTAGCTTTAGGAATACAAATTTGCACCTGTGCACATGTACATGCAGATGCACAAACATGCATGCACACAAAAATACAGATGTAGGGTGGGTTGATAAAGATCAAGAAAAGAACACAGATATAATTGTGATCAATTAAATAAAGATTTCAAAATGGACACAGAAACACAATGGACAAGACTAACAGCAAAAAGCTACCAAAGATAAAAGAATATCTGTCTTAGATTTTGGGAATCTCCAAGAGCCAGGAGTTGAAGGGCTGAAAGGCAAAGTGGTCTACCTGCAAAAAATTATTTCCTCGAGTTCCACATGGAAAGAGTGAATACTCCAGTGTCCATCTAATTAAAAGTGAGAAAAAGTGGTATGTATTGATTGATCACTTCATATTTAACATAATTCCAAAAAAATACTATTATTTTTTATATGAAAGGAACAAGGTTCCATGAGGTATAACCAACTATACTTTTTTTTGGAAACTTTTTGCATATAGATCACTTTACCTTTCAGCCCTTCAATTAATTTCTTCATCTTTTACCTGGAAATCCAATTGGTTACTTCAGTCATCAAATGATCTTTCTCAGCCATTGATTCAAATTAACTATTATGACATATTTCTATCTTCAGTCTCTGCCAAAGTAACTGCAACTGTATCCCAACCATTAGAAAGGGCATTTCCAACCACAACAGGAGAAAAACAATAAAGGGAAACAGAATCAAATGAAGCCCTTTTTCTCTCTCCCCATTCCCCCTTCTCCCAGAAGCACCCTTCTCTCCCTTATTTTTTGTATCTCCTGAACCACACTGCTCTTGCCCCTATAAGTTTCAATATAAATTACAGTTAATTCTTGTTTCACACTTGGTCATATCTAGGGCTTTCAAGGACTTGTCTGAAAAGTAAATCTCCTCCCTTTATCGTTTGACATGAGTACTTTGTAGTGAAAAACATGGCCAAGATAGCATAAAGCAAAGTGAGAACTTTTGTCTCTTCCAAGATTTCTCATGGAGAAGTTTTCACCTCAATGAGAGTTTCCTCAACATTGCATAGCCAAACAACTTACATTAGTTGTCAAGTTGCCATGAACTAAAAATTGGGATCCCCACTTTTAAATTTATTCAATATTTTAAGAGATAAAAGGGTGGTCTATCTGCAAAAAATTCTTTTTTTGAGCTCCACATGGAAAGAGTGAACATTTCAGTGACTGTCTTGTTAAAAGTGAGAAAAAGTGATATCAATAATTAGTTCAGAACAAGATTCTATGAGCACTAAACGAGCTAATTTTATTTGGAAATCTTTTGCAAATAGACCACTTTACTTTTCAGTCATCCATTTGACAAGACCAATTCACACTGTTAGGATAATCTTGCATTGCACAATGCACAAAGCACAAAATATGCTGTCACACTTTTCCTCAATCTAGAACTATGTCTTACTTCTGTCAGCCTAGTCCTATGGTTATTTTGTGTGAGATACCTCTGGAAATTCATTATTTCCATCCCTCATAGACTCACCCTATGGGGAAGAAAACAGCCCTCCCATTGTCTGTCATGTGGTAGAGGCCATATTCAGATAGCTTGACATCTCCCTTTTGTGCAAGTAGAATATTTCTGGGATGAAGATTTCTGTGGATGATTCCATGATGATGCAGATAGCTTAATCCTTGCAAGCAGCCTCGCGCTATCCATGTTGTTTCTTGTTCGTTCAATGGTTCATTTCGTTCCTTCAAGATTGCAGCCAAAGAGAATTGATGATGTTCAGAAACCACCATAAGCCGTTCTGGAAAAAGTGCAAGAGTACCATTAGTTTTAGGCGAGACTCCTAGATCCACGTCTACGTCTATAATTGAGGTCTGGATAAACGTCAAGATAGGTGTGGGTTGGAATGACGGTAATCAAACCAACAAGCTGTAAGAACCTCACCATGCTTCCCTCGAACGATGTCGACATAAGAGACGATATTTGGGTGTGAAAGAGTCCTGAGTGCCTGAAACTTGCCGAGGATGACAATAGAATTGGGAGTGAGGGGGAGTCCATTACTTCCACAACCATCAGGAGGATGAGAAGCTGCAAAAAACGTCGTGGCACCGAGATCAGCCGTCCTCAATTCTTTCGTCCGCATTCCTCCTCACTGAAGCCAATATTACTCCAATCTGTCGATACAAGTTTGAGTCATAGGCTAAGCCAGGGAGGAACGTCCGCACTCCTGTCCAAGATCAGCCGATGACGCCCACTCCCGCACGTGGGTTCAATCCAAGCAGCCATGGGCATCGCCATGACACTTGTATTGGTACCGCGGGCTGCTGGCAGACCCACGGGATCTGCCTGCTGACTTCATAGTTAGGAGCCTCCCTGATAACATTTTTTGGGGGGCTCACGTTTGCCCAATGTAGATTATTCCCGTAGGCCACGCGTAAAAGTGACCGTTGGGCCAGTGTGGGCCCAAGATTGGCAGTAAATAGGATAGCAATGTTTAAACCACATACCCCATTAGCTGGATTTTGCTCATATATGACCATCATTTCGTACCATATTCTTAAATTCATTACTCAGTGGAAGTATTCCCATCTGCAGTATGAAGCCTGTACTATGTACAACCACCTGCCATGCTCATGTTTACATGTGCTAGATTGACAGGAGACATAGGATACGACAGACGTTGACCTGCCACTGAACGTACTGATGAACGTACATATCGACAGGGTCGCCCAAAGGTTTCCAGGGGCCTGGGGCAGATTGCCCACTTTGCCCCCCCCCCCCTCCCCTCCCCTTTTTTACGAATGATTAAAATATTTTACTAAACTAATTATGGTGGACAGCTTGATCTGTTCAGCGAATATTTGCTCGAACAATCGTTCTATCGTCAAATACTGAACGGAACAATGCTCTGAATCACATCACAATAATGGTTTTTATGTTCGATATATCCCTAGAGCAAGCTTTGCATGTGAGCAATACCATTTTTTTTTTAACTTGGAAACGGCATCGATGCATGAGAAGTGCTCAATTAGTCAAATAAAAAAAATGTCTGACCCAAGTGGAAAACAGCGCGAATAAAATTGAAATCGATAAATTGGTCAATGGATAACAGGATAATGGATAATGAATAACAGGTCAGTAAATTCGTATATTTATTGATTATTTATAGATTATCCTTATTTATTGATTATCTTCTTCCGATGACTTCAATGAAATGAAAAACTCGCTCTGGCATAGCAAATTCGTCGTCCACGCATTCGGAACATCGAAGAGTTTTATCACAATTTTTCTTACGATTGGGGGCTTCCTACAGACAATTTAACCGTGGCAAGTCTCACAAAAACAGAGTGAGCCAAAAACATTTAGCTATACTTCGAAGTTTAATCGATTGAAAACTATGCGAAATTGCAACTTTCAACAAACGCAATATTTGCCGTAGCAGAAATTCATTGGCGTAAAATTTCTTACCCATGAACAAGTATTATCGTGAGCTTTTATTTCAATTTTTATTTACGTTCGAAGGGTGGCCGCAATGAACCAAAAAAGAAAGGGCTATAGTAACTCAAGAAGCTCGGGGTAAGCGTGAGAAGCAGTATTCATTAATTACGTTTTAAAATGATATAAGCTAAATACTGCATACGGGATTCATGAGATTAATTTTTTCCGTCTGCTAGGTCAATGAAATCGATATCCTAGCTTCAGGGGAGGCATATAAATTGTCTGCTCCTCGGCAAATAAACTATTTCATAATTTAAAAAAAAAGCGTTGGAGAAGCGGCTTGGGGGAAGGATTCTTCCATCTCTCGATCATCTGAACTCCTGCGTCCTCCTGAGTCCTCATGCTTTGTACCTAAATCAACGGATAGAATTCGTCGTGGTCGTGGCACGAAATTTGAACAATGAACGGGAAAAGAAAATGACTATATCAACTCAAGAAGATCGAGGAGTGCTCAGTTCCTTTTCATGTACGTCGGGATCGTACACGAATGGATCTTCAGTTGAAACACTCGTTACAGAAGTTTGTGCTACAGTGGCGTAGGCAGGAAATCGGCAAGGGGGGGGGGGGGGGGGGGGGGGCCAGGTTGACACCCCAACCCCACGCC